TTAAGGATGTACATAATTCCGTAACAAAAAAGAAAAAAAAAGAAAAAAAAAGAAAAAAAAAAGAAAAAAAGATTTTTTTCTGGTAGTCCCTTCTGATATATCTTTGATTAAACTATGTAATTTATTTAAAAAAAAAAAAAAAAAAAAAAAAAAAAATATTAATTTTTCTTCGCGTGATATTACTTATCTTGACGATTAAAATAATAAAAAATAATAAATAAAAGTAATAAAAAATGGCGGAGAAAAAGACGTAGACGAAAATTCATTAATAACGTTATTTTCTCGAACGATTCAACGAAATAAATAGAAAATAATTTATTCTGAAAAAAATAGAGAAAATCGAGTATATCCCGAGTCGAATTTTTCAAATAATATTTTTTTTTTTTTTTTTAATAAAATTTACATTTATTTTTCATTACTTTTGACAAAATATTACGCTTTCATTTTTGTTCAAAAAGAAAAAAAAAAAAAAAAAAAAAGAGAGAGCAATTAGTAAAAAATAATCGAATTGGCAATAAATCTTTCATTTGATGTAAGTAACGAACAAAAAATTTCAAATCTTTCGATATAGCAATTGCCAAGAAATGATTCATAATGATTTCGAAGTTTTCAAGGTGACTCTAACGAAAAAAATTATATCTGTAGTTTCCCATTACATTTACAAATAGATTATAATTATTTTCATGTACTCGCAATGAATCGTCGATTTCAGGATCATCTAATGAACCTTCAATCATCGAAAAAAAGTTTAATTGGTATAAATGTTCACGTTTATGAAATATGCTAGCCTCATTTGTTATATTTTGAGGATCAAGGTGCGGATCATAGTTGTACGATGATCATCTTCTTGTTTGACAAACTGATGAACAAGTCAATCAATTTCCATACCAAACAATTGGATTACTTTGAAGATCGATGATATTCTTTGATTAAAAAGATAAAGTAGCGATGTTCAATGGGATTCCTGTCCTTGGATCTGTTGTTGATAATTTAATGATCCAAAGTACCGCGCGCAAGGTGATTAAAACTGTCATTCGTATTTTCCGTAATTTCGCAAAGTCGACGTAGGAACAAAATATCCTCACTTAGATCTTCATTGAATTTCCTTTAATTTCTTCCAAATGTTTTTTGGTAAAACTTTATATTCATGATCAAAAGTGTCTTATCCAATCTTTAGCATTTGCTTGCTACCAAACTGCGCCATAATCCTGGATCGCGTAGACAGTAATGATGTACAGAATCTTCATTTGTGAAACTGTAATGATGGAATATTTATCGAATGAGTTCTCGTTGTATCTATTTCTACTTTATCGACGGATCGACATTAATCGTTAATTTATTGAAAATGAATCTTTATGCTCCACGTTACATTATTTGTCTGTGGCGATTGTTATCAGTTTTTTTACCAATACTAGCAAACTTTACATATACTCGTGTACATATTATTGCTACGGAATTATTATAAAATAAAAGACGATTGCAAAAGGGAATGAAATGTTCTGGAAATGATACTGTTGATCGATTTGAGATCATTAAACAATACAATCAAATTGTTTCTATTATCGCTATAACTCCGCCATTTTTTATGTATATTCTTCGTAATGATCTGCATTCAAAAAATGTAAGAAACAAATTGATTTTTTTTTTTATCCAAAAAATGTCATGTACGTCCTTATTAATTTATTTGATAATATCTAATCGATACTTTATTTTTTTTTTTTGCTTTTAGGGTCAAGAAACGGAGGATATTTTAACATCGTTAATGTTTGTTTTATACTTTTCTTGCGTGATAAATACACTTTTCGCTTACTGTTTCATCGGTGAATGTTTTATTCAGGAAGTAAATAAAACAATCAATAATTTCTTGAATCATTTAAATATCAATTATCTGATTAATGTCATTCGTTTTATTCCGATTAGAGTAACAATTTTGCTAACGCCATTTACAATTACGAATGGTATAACTTACCGGCAAAGGATTCCAAATTTTTTCTTATTTGTTTGATACGAACAAAAAGACCGCAATGTTTAACGTCTGGCAAATTTGCCGTCTTGTCCTTGACCATCTTCACAGACGTAAGTATATTTCGAATTATTTATTTTCCATTTTCAAAATTATATTCCATCCTGTAACATTACAATTATCATTTAATTATTATTATTGTCTTAACATTCGTAGATCATCAAAACTTCAATGGGATATTTATCGGTACTACGAACATTTTTATGAAAAGAACAAATGTGAATTTTATTATTAACATATTCTCATTTCTATTCTTAAATCATTCTTCCTTCATAGGAAGATAAATGATTTCTCTATAGATCATTGATTTGTATTAACTTTATGGAATATAGAAATACAATTTTAAAAAGATCGAACATAAATATTAGTTTCTTTTTTCATCAACAAAAATTAATATCAAATGCAGGATAAAATTTTCTAACGTTGATTATTTGTATGTATGTGTGTGTGTGTGTGTGTGTGTGTACACTCGTTTGCGTCTATGAGATAAATAGTTGTATGTGTTTCTATGTGTCTATATGTCTATGTGTGCTTGAGATAAATAAATCGATAGTTGAATTTCATTTTGTTAGGTACTTTCATTTATAAAAGGAAGATATGAGATTGAAACTTTAAAAGTGAAAATAGAATGAAAGTGTAGCCTGTTTGAGATGAGTAACAAATATAAACAAAGGACAAAGTAATGATTAGAACAAAAGTTAAATAGAATTACGGTGTACGTGTGCAAGGATATAAGTAATGATAAGAAGAGTGATAGGATAACGTGAAATAAGGACAACAGAGTGCAGTCTTGTATAAATCATATAAAGAGAAAAGAAAATAGAAGGTTGTCTTCGATAAAATGATCTAATTAATAAATTATAATGATATTAATTATTCGATAGAATGATATTAATTAATAAAATCCTTATTAATCATAAGAGTAAATGATTCGAGTTTCATTAGTCTCTATTTTTCACGTAAGATTACAAAAAAGTATGCTACACAAATGTAAGAGAATTTTAGCCGATATAATAGTCGTCTAATTTTTTTTTTTTTTTTTTTTTTTTAAGATATGAACAAATACAAATTTCATTGATTTCCATACGTAAATATGATAAAGTAATAATAATAATAATAATAATAATAATAATAATGATAATGATAATAATAATAATAATAATAATAATAATAATAAAGATTTTGTTAGAAAAATTCAGATAAATACGTATGTAGCTATGTAATTCTAAACATTATTTTACATAAGAGCATTGCTCTCGATTTATGTTCGTTCGAAGAAAAATTATTATTATTGTTCATACGAACGTCCAATTATAATTAATCAATCTTTTCAAGATTAAAAATACATTTGAGTACAATTTATTATTCTTTTTTTATCTTATTCTTGCTTGTTAATAAATTAAGTATATATGTGACAAAAAAATTGGCGTTGACAAAAACGATCCATTTTTTTTTTGTTTACTTACATGAAAACCAAACGAAACTTTATGATCAACCACAGATATTATGTAAATATCGTTTATATTTATCCATAGTGCAGTTGTATGCATTTATTGCGAACTGTTTAAAATTATTATAGAAATATTAATTGTATTTGAATAGTCAATATATATGATCGATTATTGGACAGTCTTGTTTTGGTTAATTGATAGTAAAAATGATAAGTGTTCCATTCACTATCAACAAATTCATCGAGTTAATATATTTTAATTATTTTAACATCAAAATGTACAAACGTATATATTATATATTACATAAACTAAAGATCAAATAAATTACTAAATATACAACAGCCAACGAAATACAATATTTCGTTAGAAAAATGAAAGAATAAGTGAAGACAAAAGTTACTCAGAAAAACGTATAAACAAAACCATTTCCATGTCGATAAATGAAAAAAAAAAAACCAAAGATTGCGTAAAAAAACAATATAATCAATCAAACAATTAATGATGTAAAAAGAAAAAAGAAAGAAAAATTGAAAAAGAAACAACACTCATAAGAAACAAATGATACGTAAAGAAATATAATTAGTGTCAAGAAAATAATGTAAGTATAATGTCAGAAAAAAAATGGTGATTACGGGAATTTCAATAAATAATAATAATTTAAAAATAAGAAAAAAGAAATGTTGTGTAAAACAATGAATAATTAAGAATAAAACAATAGTATCAATCTTTGTCTAAAAGTCGAATACTTTCTTAAGTACAGTACTCAGTATTACTCAAACGTTAAACACTCTATAGTAACGAGTAATTGTAAAGACATTTAATTCAACCGCGTACTTACGAATATTTACTTCAATGAAAAGAAAACTTTTTTTGCATTTAAGCCACCACCATAAAAATTCAGCCAACCAGGCAAATGTTCTTCGTTCGTCGTATCACGCAGAACTGAAAGTAACAAGAAAACGGAAGGACGATCGAAGGAAGCAAAATGGTGGGGGATGGAAACATATATAATGTTACAGGTAAAGTGAGGAACTTCGAACTATGTCCGAGCGAAGAGGGTTCAATATACCCTTAGGGTGAGATATTACTTTTTTTCTCTATAACTATGATGAACCCTCTTTTTCCTGAAAAAAAGAAAGTGAAAAAGAAGAAAGAAAAAAGAAAAAAAAAAGGAAAGAAAAAATTCACTGAGAGATAAATGGAATGAAGTTATAGCAAATTTTACATGAGGGTTGTGGTAACAATGGGATATCCTACGAGTTGAAACGATGAGAGTACATTTTTTATGCACACACCTATTCCTCTACCATCACTACCATCACTAACTAACGTAATCGATCATCGTAACAAAGTAACTGTTTAATTCCTCGTTAGAAAAGGGTTAGGGACGAGTTGTTTCTCAATATTTTTTTCCGTCGACTTCAGATTAACTATTTAAACAACCCTTTAGATGCGTATAATAACTTTTCAAACGGAGTTTACCAGGGAGGACGCTCGACCATTTTGCCGTCAGTCTGTCGTGAACCTTCGAAGAGATAAAATGGAAAAGGAAAGCATCGAAGTAAGATAAAGAGCATGGTTTGGTTTTGTTTTTATTTTTTGTTTCTTTTTTTCTCTCTCTCTCTCTTTTTTTTTCTAACCGTAAAACGAGTCTCATGTCGAATATACGGCGATCGTATATACGACGCCGATAAGTGCCATGGATATCCTATGTAATGATAGGAAATAATTTTCCATCGATCTATGTGTTCAAACGTTTATCTCAATTGGAAATTATTTTTGTGAAATTTTATTTGCAAATATTTCTTTATTATACGTGTATTTTTCTTGTAATTGCAATTTTATTTATAAGCGTATAGATATTATTGACTTTTTTATTCTTTACAATCTTATACTTCGCGGAGAATTCTGTGATGTTTCGCTTGGTATTTTTTTTCTTTTCTTTTTTCTTTTTTTTTTTTTTTATTCTATACTACATTTGTATCGTCATGCTTTCTGTCTTTGACGTTTGATTTTTTTGATCGTAAGGAATTATTTGATTTCACGAATAAAAGTTTCGAAGGAATGAAATTTTTATGTTAATATACGCACGTGAATATAATGAAAAATATGAACCGATGATGTATAATAATTATATATTTCATTCGGCGAATAATCGAATTATAAAATTTCTAATGGAAAATATATGGGGTGTTCAAAATAATACATTAAAAAATTTTTATCTCGTATACATGACATTTTTGAAAAATATTATTTTAACAAATGTTCATTTCATTTCAACAAGAAAAATATTAATTTATTTGTTATTCTTATTTTGTGGAAAAGTTTAATGATACCTCAAGGTCAACTTTGCTACTCGATTAAAAAAAGTATTTCATAGGAAATTGACTAATTTTGTTATCCTTTTTCTTTCATAATAATAAGTTTTCAATTTTAAAAATATTGACTTGTATTTAGAAAAAATGAAGGTAAGTTAGAAATGGACTTCAAGATCATTTAATAAATAATTATTAAAAAATATTTAATAATATATCATATTTATTATCAGACAAATCTTATGTCAATTATTTTTCTCAAATATGTCGTGTTAACGAAATAAAAAATTACTAATGTTTAATTTAAAAATCCGTTATAATATAAAAAAAAAAAAATACATAAATATAAAAATGAATAAATATATATATTTATATATATATATATATATAAATAATTGTATCAATTGTAATAAAATGTAATTAGATATAAATTATAAAATAATTAATAAATATAATTAATATTAATATTAATAATAATAATTAAAAAAATTAATTTAACAAATTAATCAATTCGATTTTTTATTACAGGAAATAGGTATTGCTAACGTTCATAGATCATTCAGGTGGAGCGCAAAACTTTTAAAATGCATGGGTGTTTGGCCATTGAAGAACTACGTTCCATTATTTCTCTTCTTCTTCTCATATCTTTCAATTCATTGTTCTCTAACACTCGCTCAATTATTTTTGGGTCCAAAAACTGTGGAGAACGTAGTATCGAATATGGCAGAAAATATGCTTCTAACGATGACATTAACGAAAATAACAATTGCTAGAATTAATAGAGAAGCATTACGTAAATTATTCATGGAAATTGAAGAGTTTTCACTCACTGAAAAATATGAAACCAAAGAGGAGAAATTGACATTCATAAATTATACTAAATTACCTCCATATTTTATTCTAATAATTGCCTCTTCAATGACGACGGTCGAAGTATTGTATTATTCGACTCGACTTGCCGAGGCACTTCAAATTGGTAATTCATAATTTATGTTTTTCATTTTATGTATATACATATATATACATATATATATATATATATATATATATATATATATATATACATATAATACATATATATATATATGTATACATATATTATATATGATATTATATTTTAAATATTTTATATTAATTCCTTTATAGATATGCCACCATGTGCAATCCGACGATTTTTTTTATTCATATATTTATTTATTTATTATTAAATTATTAGATGTGCCAATTAGACATATAGTCACATATTCATACATACACGCACGAGCACGCCATAATCGGCAATTAATTTTTAATATTTTCCATTCAAGTAAATTAATTTTGTGATCCTTACGTTCAAAAAAATACATACGTCCTGTTACATATTGCTTAATTTTCTATCGGAATATAATGATTAGAAATTAAAGCAATAAAAAATTAATGGATAACTTCTAAATGTCAATAAATGCTAATGTTGGTACAAACAATTTGATCAATCATCATTTAGACTTGATTCGATTATGTTCGCAATAGAGGAATCTATGAAATTTAATAATGATATTTTAAAAAATTATTAACGAAATACTTGAGACGAATGCAAGATTGACAGTGCGAGAAACAGCTGAGATTTTCTGGGCTTCTTTACGACAATTCAAAAACATCTTCATGAAATTGAAAAGGAATCTTATCAAGGTATTTGTATTCCGCATCAATTGTCGATTATGAAAGAAGATAAGCGAAAAAGAAATTGCACATAGTTATTGGCCAGTCAACAAGGTGATTAATTTTTTAACATAATCATTATCGTCGGTGAGAAATGAGTTCTATATAGGAACATGAAACTATACCAATCAATGACTTTCACCGAGAACCAATCAGCTGTACCGACATCTTACGTTGAAAGAAGTGCTATTGTGCTCTTGAAGATACCTCATCGGCATATTTCATTTTGAATTGTCTTAATCAATTGCCGTTGATAATTATTGTCAACAATTGGAACGGTTACATAACAAATTGTTGAAAAAATAGCTGGCACTGGTCAACAATATACACGTCATATCGCAACATGATAATGGCAGAGTCTTTGGATCAAAAACTACCCAAGAAAATAATAAATCAACTTTATTAGGAAGTTCTATCGAAATCGACGTATTCATTCGATATTATCTCAATGAATTACTATTTGTTTAAATCTGTGGAATATTTCATAAGAAATAAAATGTATAGAAATGTCAGTAGTTTTCAGGTTCACCTCGAATCATATTTTTCATCATTGCGTGCACATTTTCATACTAGAGTATTTAAAAATTTGCAAAATAGATGGCAAATGCACATTTGATTAGAAAATAATTAAAAAAAAAAAAAAAAAAAAAATTGAATCAAAGTGTGTGTCAAACTTTGAATTAATTAATTATTTATGGGTACTCCATAATATTACACGAATAATATGGTGTACCATTGTATCGGACATTAATTCCATATGAATATATTGGAATATTTATTTTAATCATTTAATCCAATTTTTTTTTGTTCTATATTTTCGTAATTCTTATTCATAAAAAATTATTTTCTTTCTTTTTCTCTTTTTCTACTTTTCAGCAAAGCTGAACAATTCCACGAGTTATCAGTTGCCGTACAAAACATTAGAAATCGTCGAATTAAGGGACAGAAGGATTTACGCTTTGTTGTGTGCTTATCAAGTAATATTCATACCTTGTGTCGTATTAGGTTACGTAGGATTTGATTGTATGTTCGTCAATTTGTCCATTCAAGTAATTGCACAGTTCGCAATATTGTCTTATAAGGTGAAAACTGTATTGAATAATTCTAAAAGTTATCATGATGGTATGAGGGAACTTGTATTACGACATTATCGATTGATAAGGTAATGTATCATATCATTATATGTAAATAACTGTGAGTGTATGTATACACACATATGAGCCGTTTATTTTGAAAATGGCCTAACTCCATTTGTCAATTTTTTCCAGTTGCTATAATTAAATGTACAACTTTATTTTATTTATCAGTAAAGGATTTCAGGTTGCTTATATTCCGAGCAAATACGATAATTCTTGACACATAAGTTTTCAGAGTTAGTTCAATAATTTAACCGTTTATTTTGAAAGTGGCCAAACTCCATTTATACTTAAATCAATGAATGAAAATGAAAATTTTAAAGTCCTGAATTTATTACCAAGTCGGGGTAGACCAAGAAAGTTCGAAAATATTGTAATGACACCACTGTATAAAAATATCAAACAAATTACAACAGCAAAATTCAAGGACATAATTGACCTATTACGATATTTACCATCGGAATATCATGATTTCTTCAAATCCCTTTCACACACACAAAATCTAGAAGAGTAGTAAATTGTTTTGTAATAAATTTATGTTTGTAATTTTGTACGTTATGTAGTTTAAAAATGTTTTGAATCGCATAAATTATGTTTTCGAAGTGTTTTAAAGATATGTAAAGATAAATTGAGTATTGTTTTTCTTCAATTTGAAGCATCTTAAATTATGTCGAATGGACTTGGGCACCTTCAAATTTTATAATGAATCTAATTGTTAATTTTAAAAGTGGCCTAACTCCATTCTTGATAAGAAAACGCATATTATTCATTTAATAATTGCCACTATTTTAATAGGAACTATAAATTTAACACCCTTAGATATAGTTAAGTAGTATAACTCATTAGTATCCTATACGTATATTTTTAAATTCATTGAGACGCAAACCCTTAAATATCTCGATTTGAAGATAAATGGAGTTAGGCCACTTTCAAAATAAACGGCTCATATATATATATATATATATATATATATATATATTAGATTGGAAACTATGAAACGGGCGTTTTTGTTTAGTTATTTATTTTCATTCAATGCCCGTTTCATAGTTTCCAATCAAATATATAAGTGTTAAGTCGGAAACTATGAAACGGGCGTTTTTGTTTAGTTATTTATTTTCATTCAACGCCTGTTTCATAGTTTCCAACCAAATATAAATAAACTATGATAAATTTTTTATTTATAAATTTATAAATTTATAAATTAATTTCTTTAGTATGTTTACGAACAGACACATGCACTCGCATGTGTATATATATATATATATATACATATACATCTCTATCTGGACCTTTGTTCCTTTTCTTATCTCATAGCGTTTTCATTCCTACTCGCAACCATAACTAATAATTCCTTTGCACTTAGCAATACCTTCACACTTCCTTCGTAATTCCCTATTGTCTTGATCGTACTTTGTCGCTTATCGTTCTTACACTACGTACCTCTTCAAGGACAGATTATACTTACGATCAGCTGTTTTTCTTATTCCGTTCTTTTACACACTTTTTTTCAAGGACAATCATATTATTTTCGTCTATCTTTCTTACATCGCTCTTTCATGCACTTTTCTTCAAGGACAAATCATGTTTCCGATCGACTGTGTTATATATACACATACACTCACACATTTACACACACACACACAGTTATCAATGATGGAATTCTCAATTCTATACCCACACATATACACATACATAAACGTATGTATATTACTTTTGGTTTTGTAACAAATTATTAAAAATTGAATTTTTCGTAAAGCACGTTATATGGTTAATAAATTATTACTTTTACGCGTCTCTTGAATCAACCATTTAATTCTTTCGTTATTCATTTACGTTTTTGTTATTTATTATATTTTATTTTCTATTTAATTAATTATACATTGTATTCTATTAGATTGGAAACTATGAAACGGGCGTTGAATGAAAATAAATCATTAAACAAAAATGCCCGTTTAATAGTTTCCAACTTAATATTTGTTAAATCAATTTTTGTTCATTATTTTTTATTTTTATTTTTGGATTATTTTACTGTTAATTACAATTAGCTACGTAACGACGTAGTATTTATCAAAAATAAATATAGTCTTTTTAATAATACGGTATAGATTTAATCTTCTATTTTCTTTATCTTTTTTTTTTCTTTTTTTTTTTTCTTTTCAATTGAAAAATAAACAATGAATTGAAAAATGGCGAACACAGTACTAATATATCATTGTTAATTTACTTGAATTATTTCAGATTATCGGAAAGATTGGAGGATAATTTTAATTTCGTGATTCTGCAGCAACTGATGGGTACCACCATTCATCTCTGTATTTCCGGTTACTTCCTGATGACGGTAGATATAATAGAGAATAATATCTTTTTCTATTTTTTTTTAAATCATTTTAAGGATGTACATAATTCAATGGCAAGAAAAGACAAACGTTATTTTACGATTTTTCTTACTACTTTTTTTCTGTTTTTTTTTTTTTTTTTTTTTTACTAAATATGCGTGATTAGTTAGAATAAATTTTCTTTTGTCTGACAGGATTTACTTTTAACATTAACTTGTTAATTTGTATTATGAAATGTAGAGAAAAAATGTAGAGACATGGACAAATGATATAGATCAAAAATTCGTCACTTACGACATGTTTCATAAACAATTTTTCAAATGAAAGGAAATAATTCATATTTAATTCATTCTTAAAATAGAAAAGTTAAATAAATTTTTATCGAATCAAATGTTTAAACTTATGCGTTAATACAACATGGCGGACATTTACATTCATCTTTTAATATTTTTTGAGAAAAATCATACTTTCTTTTTTGTTCAAAAAAAAAAAAAAACGGAAGTATTTCGCAAAAAAATCAAGTCGATAACAAGTCTTACATATCATACAGATAATGATCGAAATTTTTGAAAATCTCTTAGTTGTGTACTATCCACGAAACTTATCATATAGATTTTAAAATTTTCAAGGCTACTGTCATGAAAAAAAACGTAATCATTTAATGCGTTGTCGTCGTATCTACGTTTACTTTACCAATGAAATCCTTATTATTTTATCGTGAATTAGTTTTTATGTTTTATTTTACATTCTTCGTACACGGCCATAGTTATCAATGTTTTTTTTATCTCGTATTAACATTAACTCTTGCAAAATTGTGATAAAATAAAAAAAAAATGATTGGAAAATGAGAATGATAATATTCGGAAAATGATACTGTTGTTCAATTTGAGTGGATCGAACAATACAATTCTATTGTTATTGTCACTATAATTTCGCCATTTTTTTTTATCGATATCTTTCATAAATATTTACATTCAAAAAATATAGAATACAAATTGATCTCTTTTATTATCAAAAAAAATATCATGTACATCCTTAATTTATATAATAATACCTAATCGATACCTTTCTTTTTTTTTCACTTTTAGGGTCAAGAAACGAAGGATAATTTGACATCGTTCTTATTCGTTGTGTACGTTTTTTCCGTGATAACTACACTTTTTATTTACTGTTTCATCGGCGAATGCTTTATTCAGGAAGTATATAAAATGTCGCTAATTTTTTTATACAATTGGAATATCTATTACCAGATTAATTAAAATTTTTGATTCAATTAGAGTACAAATTTTGGTAATGCCATTTATAATTACGATTGGTATAATTTACCGGTAACCGAATCGAAATTTTTTCTTATTTGTATGATAAGAACGAAAAAGCCGCAATTTTTAACGTCTGGCAAATTTGCCATCTTGTCCTTGACCGTCTTCACGGATGTAAGTAATTTGATGTAATAATACAATTATTAATTCATTATTATTATGATTTTTTGTTTTTTTTTTCTTTTTCTTTTTAATATTTGCAGATCGTCAAAACTTCGATGGGATATTTATCGGTATTACGAACATTTTTGTGAAAAGGACTAAAGTGAAATGGATTACGTAGTAACAAAATCTATTTTTTCTTTTTTCGTTTTTTTTCTTTTTCTTTTTTTTTCTTAATTCATCTCCCTTCGTAGGAAGACAAATGGTTTATTTATACATCGTTGACTTGTATTAGTGTTAAAATATATAAATACAATTTTAAGACGATTGATCAAAACTATCATTTTTTTTCTTCATTAATGAAATTAATATCGAATGTAAGAAAACTTTGTCTGTTACATCAGTTGATCCATATTTTTTTTTTTTTAATTTATAGCCAATTATTTCCGATTTTATTAGTTTCCATGTGTATATGTGGTAATGTAATAATAATAATAATAATAATAATAATAATAATAATAATAATAATAATAATAATAATAATAATAATAATAATAAAGATTTTGTTAGAAAAATTCAGATAAATACGTATGTAGCTATGTAATTCTAAACATTATTTTACATAAGAGCATTGCTCTCGATTTATGTTCGTTCGAAGAAAAATTATTATTGTTCATACGAACGTCCAATTATAATTAATCAATCTTTTCAAGATTAAAAATACATTTGAGTACAATTTATTATTCTTTTTTTATCTTATTCTTGCTTGTAAATAAATTAAGTATATATGTGACAAAAAAATTGGCGTTGACAAAAACGATCCATTTTTTTTTTTTGTTTACTTACATGAAAACCAAACGAAACTTTATGATCAACCACAGATATTATGTAAATATCGTTTATATTTATCCATAGTGCAGTTGTATGCATTTATTGCGAACTGTTTAAAATTATTATAGAAATATTAATTGTATTTGAATAGTCAATATATATGATCGATTATTGGACAGTCTTGTTTTGGTTAATTGATAGTAAAAATGATAAGTGTTCCATTCACTATCAACAAATTCATCGAGTTAATATATTTTAATTATTTTAACATCAAAATGTACAAACGTATATATTATATATTACATAAACTAAAGATCAAATAAATTACTAAATATACAACAGCCAACGAAATACAATATTTCGTTAGAAAAATGAAAGAATAAGTGAAGACAAAAGTTACTCAGAAAAACGTATAAACAAAACCATTTCCATGTCGATAAATGAAAAAAAAAAACCAAAGATTGCGTAAAAAAACAATATAATCAATCAAACAATTAATGATGTAAAAAGAAAAAAGAAAGAAAAATTGAAAAAGAAACAACACTCATACGAAACAAATGATACGTAAAGAAATATAATTAGTGTCAAGAAAATAATGTAAGTATAATGTCAGAAAAAAAATGGAGATTAGGGGAATTTCAATAAATAATAATAATTTAAAAATAAGAAAAAAGAAATGTTGTGTAAAACAATGAATGATTAAGAATAAAACAATAGTATCAATCTTTGTCTAAAAGTCGAATACTTCCTTAAGTACAGTACTCAGTATTACTCAAACGTTAAACACTCTATAGTAACGAGTAATTGTAAAGACATTTAATTCAACCGCGTACTTACGAATATTTACTTCAATGAAAAGAAAACTTTTTTTGCATTTAAGCCACCACCATAAAAATTCAGCCAACCAGGCAAATGTTCTTCGTTCGTCGTATCGCGTAGAACTGAAAGCAACAATAGAACCGAAGAACGATCAAAAGAATAGTGATAGATAATGGAAACATTTTTACATTACCGATAAACAGATAAACTTTGAACTATGGCCAAGCGAAGAAAGGTGAATATATCCTTGGGGTGAGAGATATTACTTTTTTCCTGTACATATATGATCACCCTCTTCCTAAAAAAGAAAAAATAGAAGTACATAGAAGGAAAGAAAAAAAAAGAAAGAAAAAAAAAAAGGAAAAGAAAAAGAGAAAAAGGAAAAATTTCAATGAGAGATAAATGAAACTGAATTATAGCAACTTTTACATAAGGGTTGTAGTAACAATGGGATATCCTATGAGTTGAAACGATGGGAGTACATTTTTTATGCACACACCTATTTCTCTACCATCACTAACTAACGTAATCGATCATCGTAACAAAGTAACTGTTTAATTCCTCGTTAGAAAAGGGTTAGGGACGAATTGTTTCTCAATATTTTTTTCCGTCGACTTCAGATTAACTATTTAAGCAACCCTTTAGATGCGTATAACAACTTTTCAAACGGAGTTTACCAGGGAGGACGCTCGACCATTTTGCCGTCAGTCTGTCGTGAACCTTCGAAGAGATAAAATGGAAAAGGAAAGCATCGAAGTAAGATAAAGAGCATGGTTTGGTTTTGTTTTTATTTTTTGTTTCTTTTTTTCTCTCTCTCTCTCTTTTTTTTCTAACCGTAAAACGAGTCTCATGTCGAATATACGGCAATCGTATATACGACGCCAATAAGTGCCGTGGATATCCTATGTAATGATAGGAAATGATTTTCCATCGATCTATGTGTTCAACGTTTATCTCAATTGAAAATTGAACTTTCTTTTTGAAATTTTATTTGCTAATATATTCTCATTTCTTATGTATACATGTATATATATATATTTTTTTTTTTTGTAGTTCTGGATAATCATTTATAAATGGACAGATATTATTAGTTTGTTTATTGTTTACGTTATTATACTTCGTTAAGAATTCTATAATGTTTTTCTGAGGTTTTTTTTGTTTTCTTCTTTTTTCTTTTTTTTTTTTTTTTTTATTTTACAATAAATATCGTCGCTTTGTCCGTGTCTTTGACGTTTGATTTTTGATCGTAAAGAATCATTTGATATTACGAATGATAGTTTTAAACGAAATAAATTTTTATAGTAATTTACGCAAGTGAATATAGTGAAAAATTATGAACCAATAGGAATTTAATATTTAAAACAAATTTTTAATTTTTTCAACGAATGAAATGAATTTGAATATCGTCGTAGGAAATTTTAAACGGAACAATTCTTTATCTCGGAAATGTGGCATTTTTGAAAAATGCTTTTCTAACAAGTCTTATCTGATTTTCACTGGGGAAAATATTGATTTATTTATTACTTTTATTTTGTCGAAAGATTTAACGGCACCACAAGGTCAACTTTGATATTCGATTAAAAAAAAAAATTTCATACGAAATTGACTAGTTTTATTTTATCTTTTCTGTTTGATAATAATAAGTTAACAATTTTAAAAATTTTGACACATATTTAGAAAAAATGAAGGTAAGCTTGAATGAACTTCAAGATCATTTGATAAGTATAAAAAAAAAAAAAATGGAATAATACGTCGTGTTTATTATCAGACAAATTCTTACGTGAACTATTTTTCTGAAATATGTCGTATTAACGAAATAAAAAATTACTAATGTTTAATTTAGACACCCGTTATAATGTAAAAACACAAATCCATGAATATAATAATAAATGAATACTATAAATATCAATAACTTTTTTTTCTTAATATTTAAATATTATTAAATACATAATATTAAAAAAATGTCTTGAGTATTAAAAAAAATTCTATTTAAATATTTTATAGCAGTAAAGAATCGATTATATATTTCTAATAAAATCCATATATATTTAAATGTATTCAATAACAGAATATATGAATATATATGATATTTTCATTTTCTTTTCTTTTTTTAATAATTTAATTATGTTCAAAAAATTGAGATTATATACAGTCACATTGAATTTATCCTAAATTAATATTTATGCCAACATATTAATACTTAAATTTATAATAATAATTTGTATATTCACATATATAATAATATTAACTTTAAACAAATATATATAATTTTGAACAAGTATAAAAACAATATTAATATATTAATATATATATATATATATATATATATATATATATATATATGTAATTATATCAATTGAAATAAAATATATTTAGATTCATAATAAATTAATTAAGCTAAAACCAATTTAGCAAATAAAACAATTCAATATTTTTATTACAGAAACAAATATAGAAACAATATTAATATATTAATATATCAATATATAATATATATATATATCAATTGAAATAAAATATATTTAGATTCATAATAAATTAATTAATCTAAAACCAATTTAGCAAACAAAACAATTCAATGTTTTTAATACAGGAACAAATATAGATACAATATTAATATATTAATATATCAATGTATAATATATATATATATATCAATTGAAATAAAATATATTTAGATTCATAATAAATTAATTAATCTAAAACCAATTTAGCAAACAAAATAACAATGTTTTTAATACAAGAACAAATATAAAAACAATATTAATATATTAATATATTAATATATAATATATATATATTAATAGAAATAAAATATATTTACATTCATAATAAGTTAATTAATCTAAAACCAATTTAGCTAATAAAACAGCTGGATATTTTTATTACAGAAACAAATATAAAAACAATATCAATATATTAATATATCAATATATAATATATATATATATATATCAATAGAAATAAAATATATTTACATTCATAATAAATTAATTAATCTAAAACAAATTTAGCAAATAAAACAATTTGATATTTTTATTACAGGAAATAGGAATTGCAAACGTTCATAAATCATTCAGCTGGAGTGCAAAACTTTTAAAATGCATGGGAGTATGGCCATTGAAAAATTACGTTCCACTGTTTCTCTTCTTCTTTACATATCTTTCCCTTCATTGTCTTCTAACATTCGCACATTTGTTTTTGGCTCCGAAAACAATGGAAAACGTTGTACCAAACATAGCAGAAAATATGCTAATAACGATGACATTAACGAAAATAACAATTGCTCGAATGAACAGAGAAGCATTGCGTAAATTGTTCATGGATATTAAAGAGTATTCGCTCAATGAAAAATATGAAACTAAAGAGGAGAAATTGACATTCTTACATTATACTAAATTACCCCCACGATTTATTGTAATATCGGCATGTTCAATGACACTATCCGATACATTATATTATATTACTCGACTTGCCGATGGAATTCAAATGGGTAATTTATAATTTTTCTTTTTTTTTTTTCTTCTTCTCTTTTTTTCTCTTTTTTTTTTTATATAAGACATTATATCTCAAATATTTTATATTAATACCTTTATAGATTTTCCGTCGTGTGCCATGCGACGATTTTGTTTGATTCATTTATTTATTTATTTATGTATTTATTTATTTATTTATTATTGAATTATCAGATGTAAATGCACACGCACATAGACACATATTCCATATAGACACGCACGATCATGCAATTATTAAGCCAATCATTTTTAATATTTTTCACGAGTAAATTAATTTAAAAAGAAAAAAAAAAATTCTCCCAATGTTCAAAAGAATATATACGTCATTGCATGTTGTTTCATTTTCTCTCGGAATTTAACGCAATCATTAACAATTAAAGCAACAACAAACTTGTGATTATCCATGGATAAATTTCAAAGGAAAATAAGTGCCAACGTTGGACAATAAATTCCATCGTTCATATAATATGATCAATCATCATTTAGACTTGATTCGATTATGATCAAAGTAGACGACCTGCGGAATTCAATAATTATGTTCGAAAAATTATTATCGAATTGCTTGAGACGAATCCAAGATTGACAGTGTGAGAAACAGCTGAGATTTTCTGGGCTTCTTTACGACAATTCAAAAACATCTTCATGAAATTGAAAAGGAATCTTATCAAGGTATTTGTATTCCGCATCAATTGTCGATTATGAAAGAAGATAAGCGAAAAAGAAATTGCACATAGTTATTGGCCAGTCAACAAGGTGATTAATTTTTTAACATAATCATTATCGTCGGTGAGAAATGAGTTCTATATAGAAACATGAAACTATACCAATCAATGACTTTCACCGAGAACCAATCAGCTGTACCGACATCTTACGTTGAAAGAAGTGCTATTGTGCTCTTGAAGATACCTCATCGGCATATTTCATTTTGAATTGTCTTAATCAATTGCCGTTGATAATTATTGTCAACAATTGGAACGGTTACATAACAAATTGTTGAAAAAATAGCTGGCACTGGTCAACAATATACACGTCATATCGCAACATGATAATGGCAGAGTCTTTGGATCAAAAACTACCCAAGAAAATAATAAATCAACTTTATTAAGAAGTTCTGTCGAGATCGACGTATTCATTCGATATTATCTCAATGAATTACTATTTGTTTAAATCTGTGAAATATTTCATAAGAAATAAAATGTATCGAAATGTCAGTAGTTTTCAGGTTCACCTCGAATCATATTTTTCATCATTCCGTGCACATTTTCATACTAGAGTATTTAAAAATTTGCAAAATAGATGGCAAATGCATATATGATTAGAAAATAATTAAAAAAAAAAAAAAAAAAAAATTGAATCAAAGTGTGTGTCAAACTTTGAATTAATTAATTATTTATGGGTACTCTATAATATTACACGAATAATATGGTGTACCATTGTATCGGACATTAATTCCATATGAATATATTGGAATATTTGTTTTAATCATTTAATCCAATTTTTTTTTTGTTCTTCTATATTTTCGTAATTCTTTTTCTTAAGAAAATTATTTTCTTTCTTTTTCTCTTTTTCTACTTTTCAGCAAAGCAAAACAATTACACGAGTTATCAGTTGCCGTACAAAACATTACAAATCATCGATTTAAGTGACATCAGGATTTACACTTTGATTTGTGCTTATCAAATATTATTCGTACCTTGTGTCGTATTAGGTTACGTAGGATTTGATTGCATGTTCGTCAATTTGTCCATTCAAGTAATTGCACAGTTCTCCATATTGTCCTATAAGGTGAGGACAGTATTGAATAATTCTAAAAATTATCATGAAGGTATGAAGGGACTTGTACTACGACATTATCGATTGATAAGGTATATATATATATATATATATATATATATGTAAACAATGAAATTGTTTTTGTTAAAGTTTATTAATTAATTTCTTTCATTTATTTATAAATACACAAATACACGTATATGTGTACATATATATTATTAAAAATTGAATTTTACGTAAAGTTATTGTTTATTATTTAATAAATAATCGATTGTTTTCATGCATCTCTTGAATCAACAATTTAGTTCTTTCGTTATTTATTTACAATATTATTATTTATTACTTTTTATTTCCTATCTAATTAATTATTCATTATATTCTATTTGGTTAATTTATTAATTAATTTAATTAATATTATTAATTAATTATATTCATTATTTTCATATTTATTATTTGATTATTTTTCTGTTAATTTCAATTAGCTACAAGACGTAGAATTTATCAAAAATAAACGAAGTAAAATTTGTTTTTTGTATAACAAAATATATATTTCGTCATATATATATATATATATATATTTTCTTTTTAATTTGAAAAACAAACAATAATGGTGAACATAGTAGTAATATTTCATTTTTAACATTTACTTGAAATATTTCAGATTTTCGGAAGGATTGGAAGATAATTTTAACTTCGTGATTATGCAACAACTTTTGGGTACCACCATTCATATCTGCATTTCCGGTTACTTCCTGATGACGGTAGATATAATAGAGAATAATATCTTTTTCTATTTTTTTTTAAATCATTTTAAGGATGTACATAATTTAATGGCAAGAAAAAATAAACGTTATTTTACAATTTTTCTTACTACGTTTTTTTTTTCTTTTTTTTTTTTTTTTTTACTAAATATGCGTTATTAATTAGAATAAATTTTCTTTTGTCTGACAAGATTTACTTTTAACATTAACTTGTTAATTTGTATTATGAAATGTAGAGAAAAAATGGCGGAGAAACAGACATGAGACAAATGATATAGATCAAAAATTCGTCACTTACGACATGTTTCATAAACAATTTTTCAAATGAAAGGAAATAATTCATATTTAATTCATTCTTAAAATAGAAAAGTTAAATAAATTTTTATCGAATCAAATGTTTAAACTTATGCGTTAATACAACATGGCGGACATTTACATTCATCTTTTAATATTTTTTGAGAAAAATCATACTTTCTTTTTTGTTCAAAAAAAAAAAAAAACGGAAGTATTTCTCAAAAAAATCAAGTCGATAACAAGTCTTACATATCATACAGATAATGATCGAAATTTTTGAAAATCTCTTAGTTGTGTACTATCCACGAAACTTATCATATAGATTTTAAAATTTTCAAGGCTACTGTCATGAAAAAAAACGTAATCATTTAATGCGTTGTCGTCGTATCTACGTTGTGAAATCCTTATTACTTTATCGTGAATTAGTTTTTATGTTTTATTTTACATTCTTTTTACACGGCCATAATTATCAATTTTTTTTTTATCTCGTACTAACATTAACTCTTGCGAAATTGTGATAAAATAAAAAAAAATGATTGGAAAATGAGAATGATAATATTCGGAAAATGATACTGTTGTTCAATTTGAGTGGATCGAACAATACAATTCTATTGTTATTGTCACTATAATTTCGCCATTTTTTTTTATCGATATCTTTCATAAATATTTACATTCAAAAAATATAGAATACAAATTGATTTCTTTTATTATCAAAAAAAAATATCATGTACATCCTTAATTTATATAATAATACCTAATCGATTTCTTTCTTTTTTTTCTCATTTAGAGTCCAGAAACGAATGACAATGTAACATCGTTCCTATTCGTTGTATACATATTTTCCGTGACAAGTACACTTTTTATTTATTGCTTCATCGGCGAATGTTTCATTCAGGAAGTATATAAATTGTCAATAATTTCTATTATAATTAAAATAACAATTAATCGATTAATTTCATTTGTTTTATTCGATTAGAGTACCAATTTTGGTAACGCCATTTATAATTACGAATGGTACGACTTACCTGCAACGGACTCGAAATTTTTTCTTATTTGTATGATAAGAACGAAGAAGCCGCAATTTTTAACATCTGGCAAATTTGCCATCCTGTCCTTGACCGTCTTCACGGACGTAAGTACATTTCGAATAAATTTTTTCTATTTTTAAATTATATCCTTAAGGGATGACAATAGAATCGTTATTACATTATTATTATTATTATTATTATTATTATTATTATTATTATTATTTTTCTCTTAATATTTGTAGATCGTCAAAACTTCAATGGGATATTTATCGGTAATGCGAACATTCTTGTGAAAAAGGGATTAAAGTGAAATGGATTACGTAGTAACAAATTCTTTTTCTTTTTTCCTAATTCATCTTCCTTCGAAGGAAAACAAATGGTTTGCCTATACATCGTTCACTTATATTAGCGTTATTGAATATCTAAAGACAATTTTAATACGATCGATCAAAACTTTCAGTTCCTTTCTTCATGATAAATATTTATTATCAAATGTAAGAGAACTGTGCCAGTTGATATTTTTCTTCAAAAATTTGACCGATTATTTCTGATTCAAACGTACATGTGATAAAGTAATAATAATGATAATAATAATAATAATAATAATAATAGTAAAAAAAAAAAAATTGGTTAGAAAAATTGAAATAAATACGTGTGTAGCCATGTAATTTTATTAAATTACTTTTATTAATTTTTATTCTATTAAAAAATATTTCTACATAAGAGTATGAAGTCAATACGTGTCTATTCAAAGAAAAATTATTATTATTATTCATACGAATATTCAAGTATGATTAATCAATTTTTTTTTTTTTAATTAAAAACACATTTGAGTTAGATTTGTTATTTTTTTTTTACCATTATTATTGTTCGTCAATAAATTCCAAATGTATACGACAACAAAATTGTTATTGGCCGAAACAATCATTTTTTTTTTTTTTACATACATGAAAACCGAACGAAGTTTCTTGATCAATCACAGATAGTATATAAATATCGTCTATATTTATCTGGATACTGCAATTATATGCATTTATTGCCTATAATCTATTTCAAATTATTATACAAATATTAATTTCATTTGAATAGTCAATATTTAGGATCGATTATTGAATAATCTCGATCACCTAACTGTTTGTAAGAATGATAAATACTGCATTCACTGTCAACACAATTTATAGAGTTTATATATATATATATAGAATATTTTTCTTAATCCTATCTGGAAGATACAAATTAGCGAAACTCCGATCAGTTATTCTTAATTAATAAGGTTTTTATTAATGAATGTATTACAATAATACAACTCTTTACTTCTAGGTTATTCTACTCATGATCATCATTTATTCTGCGCTTGGTACACTTAGGATCTTTTTTCGTTACTCTTCGTTTGACCTAATTAAGACTATCCTCCGTTCATTATTTTCACGTTTACCCTATAGCATTTTTCATTCCCATTCACATTCGTGCATATGCATTCGGTAATTCCTAACGCTCTTTGTCCTATTCGTTATTTTGTCCACTTAGTTGCTTTGTTATCTACTTCATTAACTATCATACTTTTGTTCGACCATCAATCAACTTACCTCATACACACACACACACACACAATAATGCTAGAACTTTTCATTCCATGTACATTTTGAATATTTGAACATCAAAGTGTACAATGATTTCAAATAATATTTTACAAATGAAATTAAATTTGAATAAACTAATAAATTTGAATAAACTAATAAATAATGACAATCAATGAAGTATACAAAATTGAAAGGAACGTTAGAAAAATTTGTTAAAAAAGAAATTCTTTACAAAAAATGAAAGGACCAGTGGAAACAAATGTTACTTAGAAAAAAAAAAAAAAAGTATGAACGAGCCAATCAATTTCCATAACAAACAATTGGATTACTTTGAAGATCGATGATATTCTTTGATTAAAAAGATAAAGTAGCGATGTTCAATGGGATTCCTGTCCTTGGATCTGTTGTTGATAATTTAATGATCCAAAGTACCGCGCGCAAGGTGATTAAAACTGTCATTCGTATTTTCCGTAATTTCGCAAAGTCGACGTAGGAACAAAATATCCTCACTTAGATCTTCATTGAATTTCCTTTAATTTCTTCCAAATGTTTTTTGGTAAAACTTTATATTCATGATCAAAAGTGTCTTATCCAATCTTTAGCATTTGCTTGCTACCAAACTGCGCCATAATCCTGGATCGCGTAGATAGTAATGATGTACAGAATCTTCATTTGTGAAACTGTAATGATGAAATATTTATCGAATGAGTTCTCGTTGTATCTATTTTTATCGACGGATCGACATTAATCGTTAATTTATTGAAAATGAATCTTTATGCTCGACGTTACATTATTTGTCTATGGCAATTGTTATCAGTTTTTTTACCAATACTAGCAAACTTTACATATACTCGTGTACATATTATTGCTACGGAATTATTTTAAAATAAAAGACGATTGCAAAAGGGAATGAAATGTCCTGGAAATGATACTGTTGATCGATTTGAGATCATTAAACAATACAATCAAATTGTTTCTATTATCGCTATAACTCCGCCATTTTTTATGTATATTCTTCGTAATGATCTGCATTCAAAAAATGTAAGAAACAAATTGATTTTTTTTTTTATCCAAAAAATGTCATGTACGTCCTTATTAATTTATTTGATAATATCTAATCGATACTTTAGTTTTTTTTTTGCTTTTAGGGTCAAGAAACGGAGGATATTTTAACATCGTTAATGTTTGTTTTATACTTTTCTTGCGTGATAAATACACTTTTCGCTTACTGTTTCATCGGTGAATGTTTTATTCAGGAAGTAAATAAAACAATCAATAATTTCTTGAATCATTTAAATATCAATTATCTGATTAATGTCATTCGTTTTAGTCCGATTAGAGTAACAATTTTGCTAACGCCATTTACAATTACGAATGGTATAACTTACCGGCAAAGGATTCCAAATTTTTTCTTATTTGTTTGATACGAACAAAAAGACCGCAATGTTTAACGTCTGGCAAATTTGCCGTCTTGTCCTTGACCATCTTTACAGACGTAAGTATGTTTCAAATTATTTCTTCAATTTTTTAATTATGTCACTTGCTATTACAATGCAATGATTATTTTATTGTACTATTATTATTATTATTTTCTTTGTCTTAATATTTGCAGATTTTGAATTCTTCTATGGGATATTTATCGATATTGCAAATAATCATTACAAAAAATTTGTCTACGCATCATTGATTTATATTAATTTATGGAATATAAATGTAAATATAATTTTAAGACGATCATTCAAAACTCTCAGTTTCTTTTTTCATCAACATAATTTTTGTCAAATGTAAGAGAATTATACTAGGTATACCAGTTATCATATTTTGTAAAAAAATACGACTAATTATTTTCGATTCTCTTGATTTCCAAATGTACATGTGATAAAGTAATAATAATAATAATAATAATAATAATAATAATAATATTAATAATAAAATAAAATTTTTTAGAGATATTGAAATAAATACGCATGTAGCTATGTTATTCTAAAAAATATGGCATCTATATATGTATATCTATTCAAAGAATAATTATTATTATTATCATCCATACGAATATCCAAGTATTAATTAATCAATTTCTTCGAAATTAAAAACACATTTGAGTCCAATTAATTTTTTTTTTCTTATTATCGTTTTTCAATAATTTACATGCAACAACAGAATTATTATTGACAAAAACGTTTTTTTTACTTACATGAAAACGAACCTTCTAATCAATCACAGATATTATGTAAATATCGTCTATATTTATCCTAAATTCTGCAGTTGTATGCATTTATTGTCAGTTATCTGTTCAGAATTATTATAAAGATATTAATTGCATTTGGAATGTCGAATATTCAAGATTAATTATTGGACGATCCCATTCGCCAAACTTTGTTTGTAAGAATAAGTACACCATTCACTACCTGCAAAATTTATAAAAAAAAATTAATATTCTATTAATTATTTAAACATAAAAATTTGCAAACGTCTACAGTATATATTTTATATAATATTAAAATTGAGTTAACCAATAAATAAGAATCATCAACGAGATATAATATTTCTTTACAAAAATGAAAGAGAAAGTGGAAAGAATTGTTACTCGAAAAAAAAGTATATGAACGGGAACATTTACATTTCGACAAATGAGGAAATTAATGTATGCGTAAAAAATATAATAAATAAAAATCATCAATGATATACAAAGAAACAAAAAACAAAATACATAGAATGCGAGTGATACGTAAAAGAAAAAAAAATATATATATACATTATAATTAAATATATAAAAATTATAAAAAAATGTATAATAAAAAATTATAAAAGAAATATATAAAAAAATATATAAAAATATATCAAATATATATATATATATATATATATATATAATAAAAATAAAAAAAATATATATATAATTAGTGTGAGAAAATAATGGTAAGTAAAGTTTCAGAAAAAATGAAGATTAATGAATTGCTAATAAGGATTAATAATTTAAAAAGTAAAGAAAAAGAAATCTTGTGTAAAACAATTGATAATTATCATAAAAAATAAAAAATTGTTATATAATAAAAAATTATAAAACAAATATATAAAAAATTATAAAACAAATATATAAAAAAATATATAAATATATATATATATATATTATAATAAAAATAAAAAAAATATATATATAATTAGTGTGAGAAAATAATGGTAAGTAAAGTTTAAAAAAAAAAATAAAGATTAATGAATTGCCAATAAGGATTAATAATTCAAAAATGTAAAGAAAAAGAAATCTTATGTAAAACAATTGATAATTATCATAAAAAATAAACAAATGTTATATAATAAAAAATTATAAAACAAATATATAAAAAAATATATAAAAATATATTAAATATATATATATATTATAATAAAAATAAAAAATATATATATATAATTAATGTGAGAAAATAATGGTAAGTAAAGTTTCAAAAAAAAAATAAAAATTAATGAATTGCCAATAAGGATTAATAATTCGAAAAAGTAAAGAAAAAGAAATCTTATGTAAAACAATTGATAATTATCATAAAAAATAAACAAATGTTATATAATAAAAAATTATAAAACA